ATTATTAATTTTATTATTAATTATGAGTTTTTGTATAGTTTCTTTTTTGTTCTAAAAACAAGATATGGACTGTCGTAAAGACGACACAACAGTATATATATATATATATATATAAAAATATATATAAAAAGACACAACAGTATATATATATACATATATATATATATATGAAACAAAACCATAGATCACGGATGGCTCCTAGAGAAAAGTTAGTAATATACCTGGATAATAAGAACCGAACCCTTTGTGCTTCTGATGTGAGAGGCCTAGTGTTTATGTATTTCTGGCCCGTTTATATGAAGGAGGTGCATAAAGAAAAAGATGCACCTCGTCGATGTTATCAATGGTGCCATCTACCATCGAACCGACGCAGTCATCTGATCTGACTGTTAAAGAAGAATTTGAAAGACCACGACAATGAGATAACTGAATGAACTGAAAGTGATGAAATGAGCATTCTTTCAAATATTTGTCTTGAATGCTTGGGCTGACGTTCGAAACAGCTTAACAGAAACGCAAACAATTAAGCAGTATTTAATAGGCATAAAATCTTCGGTATGATTGAACCTTAATGAATAACCACGAACACTGATGATCACGCTACCATCACTTCCGCTTTCCTATCTCCCTTTTTTTCTTATTCAAATGAACTTATTAATAAGAAATAGAACTGTCATAGAATTGCTTTACTAATCACTTTTCATCTCATTTTCCCCATCACATTTAAAACTTTTGTTAATAAAACTTGATTAACCAGTTGCAAGAGTGTCGAGCTTGACTGTAAGAAGTAAGATTCTCTCTTTCTAAAAGCAATCACATCAAAACTGCAAATCCTTTAAATAGGAATGCACATTGTCAAATTCGTTTAGGCCAGCTTCTTATACACATACACGAAACAGATATTTTAAAAAAAAACCCAACCCAACCTAGTATATTAGTAGCGTTCTCAAAAGAAAGGTCAACGTATCAAAAAACAAAAACGCTCCAATAAACGCTGTCAAGTTTTGCGGTTTTGTGTCATTACATAGATGTCTTCGAAAAGGCATGAAAAGTGCTCATTCTTGTGATGATTGGGATGTTTCAATTTAATTCCAACAAATCAATATAAATCTGCTCCCAACATTCAGTAGTTATTTACAAAAGAGAAATGATAAAGCGGCAATAACATAGCCATGCATGTCAATTGCTAATTTTAAAAAATAAGGATGTAAGAAACTTAAACAGTGTTAGCAACTTTATTTTCATCTAAAAAGGTACATCCATCATCCATGCATCATATCTTACAGCTGAAAGTTTTACGCCCAACTCTCATCGTCACTTCGTCCCTCCAAGCCTTCCTTTTTGTCAGCACTTCTAACATTGTTAGAATATCTTGTTTTTTCTTAACCCATTGATAAATCCTATGCTTTTTATCAGTGAAAAGTTCGACTTATCAAATGTTTTTTTTTTTTGGGAACCCAAAGCTTTCCAGTCCGGACAAAAATCTGAAAATAAATGAACCGATTTCTCCCATCCCGCCCTTTTACTGTAATTATTGTTTTCTACCAGAATTATCGATTAGCATTCAATGACGGACGAAATAGTAAGAAATGCCAAATTCCACTTTATATTGCTGCTATTCGTATTTTTCTGTTCTTTTCTTCTGATTTTTTCTGAAGATCGGACAAGGAATCTAACTTAAAACATGAATTGCGCCATAAACCAAGTGAAATAAGTTGCTCTTACTACTACCATCATCAATATTGTCGTTATTAAATAATGCCCTCATTATTATCACTTGATTATCGGCTGATAATGAAACTGGAGGCTCATAAAAAATGAACTATTTAAGCCAAGATGTAAAAAAGATAATTTTTGCACTTCAAACTTCTGTGACTAGTGTAATCATATCAATAATAATATCGCCTAGAAATAATGATATACAACTGATATCAAATATCTTACAATGAAATGATAAATTTTAGTGATAATTGACTGGTTGTCTTGAAAATGCAACTAATCAAAATGGCTATCAATAGCGTTAATGCATCGGTGATAATAAGGAGAAGATGCCAAATTCAATGTTGTATATGCTTGTTAATAAAGGGAAGTGAAACTTGCAAGACATCATTTGATTTAACAGAGAAAACAATACCCCTAATATGTCTATCCAATTTAACTGATGTGTGCTGAGGACAATAAAAACTCGAATGGCGCAAATAGCTGCTAACAGTACATTAATGTCAGTGACAGTTATTTCGAACTTTTAAATGCTATTAACATATTACTGAATTTTTTTTCTACTTTTTACAATATTCAGTAATGAAAATTTGAACACATTATTTCAGAACATTCTATACTCATTTAAAAAGATTGTTCTATTAAGAAATTGGTTTGCATAAATGTGGGAAAAAAGGAATTGTTACGAATTATTTCGTTTTATATATCTATAAAATATTTCTTTCTTCCCAATTTTTTCCAAAAATATCACTGTTGATTTGACGAGTTTTCAAAAAAATAAAATTTTTAAAAAAAGATACATTTCTTGGAGTGGTTCTTGCTCTAAAATGGTAAATGAACCATCACTGATCCTAAGTATGGACAAAATTGGTCACCAAAGTTTTTGGTATACATATTTTAATTAGCGAATGGATTTAAATATTGTTTTTCACTGGAAAAATGGAGCTCTCGAAACGTTTAAGACTTCACATTTTTTAAAAGTTCCTGATCTGTAATCTCCAAGCCCGCTTAGTCTTGTTCTTAATTTGAAGTTCCAAACTTTATCATTTTCTCCACTACACCATCAAGAGACTTCACTTTGATTTTTATCTTCCATACACCTCATTTATATTCCTTTACAAAATTATTTATATTTCTTCATCAAATTGTTCAATATTTCCTCTTAAAAGTGAAGGAGAATCTCTTTTAGTTTTAAACAGAACAAAGAAGACTGATTATCTGGTTTTGAGAATTACTGGTAACCATTTGGTGATGCCTTTAAATGCAATTATATTAAAAAATGCATCCATACTCACGGGGCAATATTCAATCCGATGAAAAATTGTGCTATATCACGATCGGTTGCCTGCCACGGAAGACCTCGAGTGCGAACAATCACTTCTGAGACCAGCGATGTTTCCGGTAAACTGAAGTAGGATAAGCCTATATCAGTGAACTTCAAACACAAACTTTTTGGCAAATAACTCATGATTTAATTTTTCACAATGTTTATTAGTGACAGTTTCCATACCTAACAACAATGGTATTGGTAAATACTTGATTTTAAGAATTGATATGAATAAAAAAACCTATTGAATTAGAACTGTAAAACGTAATTATACTGATTAATGTGGAATAAAATAGAAAAGAAAACAACAAATTTTCGTAACTGAAATTTAGCTTCACTTTTCTAATGACTTATTTCCTTGATTAAAACTATAAATTTAGAATATTTTGAAATTTCAATATTTCAATACGGCCGAAATAAAACCGAATTTTAAAAACAATTCAAATGCTTGCACTTGCTGGTATTTATTGCCTCAATACATTTAAAAACAATAAGCTGCTAATTCTTCAATTTTGATTACAAATACGACGGCCAAAAATCATTGGATACGAAATGAACCACTTTGTGTTTCAAAACAAAATGCTTCTTTCAACACTTTGTAAAAGTGTGGAAAGCGAAAAGTTTATGGAAACTGAAATGAAAGTTTAAGAATTGTTCAATTTTCTGATGAAAGTAAATCAAAATAAGGACAAAAGAATTTATAGAATATTACTCTTAGAATTTTTATAGGAATCAATGAATGTATTTTCAGCTCTTCGAAAATTTAAAATACTCTGACTAGAATTAGTAGATGAATGAATGCACTGCCCTCAAAAGCATTAATCAAAATAATCAAGCTAAAGAGAGATAGAGAGAACTGAAACAACGAACCATATTGCGTTCCGTAGTTCAGTTTTTACGTCCTCTACAGATTCCATTAAATCTTTGGTACCTGTAAAGTGAAACTGTTTTAAAGATATTGATGGGGCGCTGTCAAATTCAAGTTTGTCCAGATATTTCAACATCGAGGTTTCCTTTTCTACCATTTTTACTTAATATTTTTTGGTAATCTTAGAAAACAGTTATTACATTTTAAAAGATTCATTCGTCCTATTTGCCCCAAAGACAGAAGTTACCATATGTGAAAATTGATTTAAAATTTTGTAAAACTTTCGTTTGATATTAGCTCAGTTACTTTACGATGTGTAGATCAAGACAATCAAAAATCATTTTAAGACAATATTGCCGAAACCTTGCTTATGGACCATTTTCTCGCAAATCTCTTCAAAATAGTTTTCCATTCTATCCTCTTTTCTGGCTACAGTGAATTCCTTTCAAAAAAATTGATTAAAATGGTGGCAACAAAATTGGTTTTCTCTTTTGTTTGTTGTTTCTTTTCTGTTGTCCTATAGTGGACTTGTGCAAATGGAGTTTGCCAACAGTGGAACGGAAGTACTGCTTAGCTGTACAATCACAATGACGTCAACTGCTAACAGTGCGCTCATTACAATCGCAAAACAACTTTCTGTAGTACCGTTACTTTGAACAATCCGAAAGTATATTGTTCTGAAGGTACTTTTTATGATATTGCATTTCATTTTAAATGTAAATATCCTTACCACAATAAGGTGCAAAATGATAGCCAGTTTCAGCAATAATATGTGAGGTGAAAAATGACACCATAAAAACGGAAAACGTTATCACTTCAAATTACTCAACATTCTAGAAATTTGATAATTGAATTAGATCGTCAAATCAGCCCAATTTTCCCAAAAAATTCGACTAAATGACGTCAAGCCATGAAAATGAAAAGAAATGAAAATAGGAAAAGCTATTATTCGCGTCTCAAACGACAGATAACGGTGAGTTCAAAATTTGCTTCGTAGGAGTTGACAAAATTTTCTGGCTATAAATTCCTCTGATTTTTTAATGTTCCCATGATTGCTTCGTTAGTAGATTCAGTTCAAACTCCTGAACAAATGATATGATGGGAACATAAGGATGCAGGATCAGTGAAGTACAAATAAAAGATAAGGTTTGATTCGTCCTCCCAAAAAATATAAAATTGGTGTTTGGAAAGGTCATATAAGGAAGGACAAGGTCAAAGATGGCAAGGAGTTTTTGCTGCTTGGTGTTAAGACAATATTATGTTTAAAATTTTTCGCAGTTATGTTGTTCATGCTGGTATGCAATAATGTGTGCAAGCGGCTTGCAACAATATCAAAAGGAATGAGACTATTTGATTCTTAGAGTCAATAAAAATGCTGCATATAGCGGGATATAAGCTGCAGTGGAATGAATTGCTGCGAAGGCACAATGTGTATGTACGGTACCGAAGGTTATGTGTGGTACAGGGCATCAATCGTTTTACGACTAGTCATTTCGAATATTTGTAATTTTAAGGCTCCCAAACAATCAAATTTGATTTTTTCAGTTTTATTTCAAATTTTTTAAACGTATATTGTACTACTTCCTACTTACGAAACTTCGCGAACTGTTATTCAATCACTGGCCTGACGAAAATGTAGTAGGAGCGTGGATTAAAAACCATTCATCCTTAAAGTGGGTGACCTTCTTTAGTTCGCCATGTGGAACAAATCTATAGGAAATTCGAACCTCCTCTCTCTTCATTAATCTCCGCTAAATACTCCTTCTAATAGTGTCACTTTAAACTCGTAGTTCCATGATGTGAATGAATGAATCCAATCCACTGCAATTCTTCAGTTTTTTGTCTTAAAATTGGTCAAACACCATTAATTATTTCGAAAATTTTGCCCACCTTTTAAAACAATTTCCCATTCCTTTCACTTTTTGAAATGATTATTTTATTCATTACTTAATTAAAATGATTAAACCTTATGTGATAAATAGCTCCATTAGTACACTCTCATTCTATCAATCGACTTAGAACCTCCTGCAAACAAGGATATGTGAGGAAATAATAACTCTTCTCAATCTAAGGAACACAATGTTACTTGATAACAAACGAAGAGACAATAGTGACCACCTGAGACGCAATTCAATCTCATACTTCACCGCAGTTGTACTGCTCGAAATGCTTGGCAGGTAAAAAGATGTGATCTACGTTGAAAATTTTGTTTTCATTTTACGCAGTTCTAGTTAACACTGTCATTTATAAAACAAAGTTTAAGGCAGGTGACTACTGCCTTAATTCTTGAAGGCACAGATAAAATATTGTAAATGTTTACGACTAAAATGAGAAATTTTTAGGAAATCCATAAGAATTTTTCCTCCCTGAACAAAATATGGAAAATTGAATGCTAAGACTGCGAATTAAAATAGTTTAAACCCAAAATTAAGTTTTTCATGATTCTTTTTATAATATAGTAATATCAAAGCATGTACACGTTCGCATTAGCAAGAAGGATTAGTTCGAACAATTTCTCAGAAAAAGCGCAATAAATTTCAAAAATTTCTTCTTCTTAAATATTAGAAGGTTAAATCATAGACTACTCTTGCTATTACGCTAAACTAGAATTTAAATAGTTATAGAAAAAGACAAGTTTTTTCAATGTATTAAAACGAAAAAAACTGCTCCAGTCAAGTTGAAACTGAAAACAAAAATTCGTTTTTGAGGGGATACATTAAATTAACACGGCCTGATAGAAGTTTATCGACAAAAAGGAAATATTAACCAAGAAACTTTCATTTACCTTCACATAAATAATGTATCCTGTCACGTATCAGATCTAGTTCATCCTCTAGTGAGCACTTCCCGTCAAATGGTAAAGCTTCGAATCGCGAGATATCGATAAATTTGTGGAACAATGGAGACAGTGTGAAAGACAACCGTAATGCAAGAGGATGTAACACCTGTCTGATAACATTAATACCATTTGTTACTAACACTGAACCAGCTGGTACTGTATTTTCAACCTGCAATTAGAAATGTTTTTATTTAGTTTACGATATTAATAATGTATACCTGATTTTGTGACAGCATAGAGAGATGATCTTCCAACAGTGCTAGTTGATATATTTCATTGGGTCAACTCAACTTAAACTTAGAGAATAATCCAATAAGAAATAATGATGAAAAACAATAATGGTAGTGTATGATATGATTTAATACGGTCATTGCTTTAACTATAACCCACCCACTTTGAAATAATTAGAACTGTTAATCAGTGCATCATCAGTAGCAGATATTTCGAAAAAGTCCCAAATGAGTGAATATGTTAGTACGTTTTTCATTCCCTTCAAAATATTTTTTTTTTCGAAGTTTATAGCTACATGTTGAAGGCGTATAAAATAAAAATTTTCATACAAAAATTCTTGTTGCTTTGTCTGAATTTTTTTATTTGATCGTTTTGTTAGAAGTTTCGAATATTTGCATGAAAACCTAACTACGATGGTAAAATATTAAATATTTTCAATTGTGATTTTAAATTATTTTAGTGAAGATAAGGATTGTTTCCATCGATTGCTCATTTGATATGTGTAATATATACACTATTAAATGGGAATTATTTAGATAACATAAAAGATTTCCGGGACAAGAAAAGGGATTAATATGGACTAAGTAATAAATAATTCTCGTTTAAATCACATCTATTAAAAATCAAGTCCTAAAAATCATATGTTACAGAGGCGGTATTTGGTATACTATAATGCTTATAATGATAATAATGACGAAACATAGGTTATACCATCAAAAAGCTACTGAAAACGAAATTAAGCAACTGCGAAAAAGTCTGAAGAAAAAATAATCAGCAGGTGAATTGTTCAAGTTTAGGTTACAGAAGGACTTCAAATACTCGGACGAAAATTTGGGAAGGGTTCTACCCACAGGGCTACAAATGTGAATGTATCTTTCCAGTCTGCGCAGAGGATTTGTTAGGTGAGACATAGCGTGCACGGAACTGGCCACCCTTTACTCATAAGGTTCACCTGCCAAGCCTAGCGAGCTACAACAGTGACAGCAAAGTCCTCGTGACGTAGATTTACCCTTAGATGGATACCTTACAGGATTAAGCCAGCTCCATCTGCCAGGGTTTTTTCATCCTCCCAGGACGGTTGTCGAGAAGCTAGCGAGCCCAGCCTGTCCGTGGAACACTTTGTCTGATCCTTCAGTTGAGACCTGTCTAGCACGGGAGGTCCTACTGGAGATATAAGCCACCGCCAGCATAGTTCGCAACCGCTACAAGCTTCTCTCCCTCCGCGACAAGGAGTATCTGTGAAAAACTTGTTTTTTTACTTCGCTAAAAAATATCATTAGACGAGAGACTGGTCTTAGAAGTGGATCAACCTAAGAACTGACGTACATAACATTATTTATCTGTCATAACATGCTATTTATATAAGTAAAATATCTCTCGTTGGAATGTATTTTAAGTAAAAAGTTTACTTTCTGGAGAGCAGTCTGTAATCCTAAAGAAGTGACATCCAGTTCTTCGATAGTGGTAACTTTGTTGCATGTATTGTTAGATCGACAATTAATAATAGTAAAAGCAATAGTTTGTACAGGTGCCGAATCCGATCCTTGCTCTCTAATAGCATTACAACCGGATGTCCTCAGAGCAAACGGGATTAGAGAAATCGGTGCCACGGGCACGACTGTTTGTGGACAGGGTGCCATATAAATTGGCTTTCCAAATCGAAGCCTTCACGATGTGGATGCAGCGGGTATAACAAAAGGAGAATTAGAAGGAGGTAGGTAGGAGAAAAAGATGGTTCGGGAAATTTATCGGAATTCCCTGCCGTCAGTACTGAGATGAAATAGTAGAAGTACTGCTTCTGGGGTGCGGAATAAGGAAAGGGGAAAGTACTGCGGAGTGGAATGGTCAGATGGGTCGGGCTGGCGAAGTGAAGAGGAGTGAGCATCCGAAATATGTCAGTGCGGCTGGGACAGCCACGCGTGAAGAAGAAATTCGAGCAGTTGCCGCGTAAAGAGAACTAACAGCGAAGAATCGTGAAAACGGGCCCGACGAGTCGACGAATCTTTTCGAAATACACTTCGAAAATGTTATGTTTCGTGCACCCGAAGATGAAACTTTAGACAAACAAGACTAGCTGACAAGTTAACATGGAGAGAGAGAGAGAGAAAGATAGAAGGTTGAATGGTGACATTTTACATACGCATGTCTGAAAAGAGACCGTGCAAAGACAGGACCAGTGATATGACAGCCGTGTGAAATGGTAATATTAAGAAAAGAGAAGAGTAAGATATGGAGAGTTTCGCGGCTCTCGATATCACATTTGGGATGTTTTCTGCAACCATCACCACGTCATGGTGCGGTGGTGTCCTTGAACATATATGCGAACCATTTTTCGCTACTGGTCTTTCTGTCCAGCAACCAGCTTCGCTGCTATCGTTGTCACTTAGTTATTGTTGCTACTATGATTGTTATTCCTACAATTACAGATGTTATATAATGAAAATATTAATAGTAGCAATAATTGGTAATAACTGAAATATGTCTAAAATATCAGTTTTCCACTTTTCCACATCCGAACTCAGTTTTATGGCTTTACATTTGATTAAAATGTGAACCCAATCTATGCTTTAGCACTGAGTTTCATTAATGCAAATCCACAAATATAGACACAATCAAATCTGGTACTACGAAATCATATGTGACCATCGGCACAAACTTCAGAAGTTGCAGGAACATGGCTATCACGTCCAAAATTTTGTTTCTTATAATATTTCAATCGATGCATGCTCTGCCTGCTTTGAACTGACGATATCATCGAAAAACTCTTCGAATTTTCAAGAATTGTCAGCTTTGAGCATTAACCCACATCATGGCATTGACCACCTTGACCCCCCCCCCCCCTCAAACATGAATTAAGGTTATTTTTTGAAATGTTACATAACATAGTCCATAATTCGAGTTGCTTGAACAAATCCTCTATTATATTGGGATTTTATGAAGTGTCGAAAAATATTTTTTCATATTTTGACTTTTCAGTAAATTAATTTTTTAATGTTTCCTATTAAGTATTTGGAAAATATTTTCTAGAAGCTACCAATCGAAAAAAATATTAGAGTGATGAGGAATAAAAGAGAAGAAACAAAAAAAGTAATCTAACAGAAAAAACAAAAATATATAAAACAAAAGTAACAAATGTAATTACTTGACAATACTATTTTCGTTAAATCCAATTGGTTTTTATTAGATGAGGAGTAATTCACTGTTTGAACAGACAAGTATTCTGACGAGATGACTTCTTTTCTCTCTATCTTTCTCTCCCTTTCTCTCGAAATAACGTCATTTAATTTTTTCTGTTGAATGACAAAAACACCGGAATCAGATATGTCCACTTCATTTGCTTCCCGAATTTTACGCTGATTGTCGTTTCCCCGAAAATATTTCCATAATTTTGTTAAAACGTGTAAAGGAATATATGAAAATATGGATTCAGCAATATCACAACATACGAACAATCATATTTTTGATCAGGAAACAATATTTATAATGCAAAATGAATGATCAGTGATAATTTTTTTTTATAATTCCTTCACCTGTTATGTTATCCTCAATTAAAGAAGTAGGATGTTGTTAGGGAAAATTTCCAGAAATAATGAAAGAGTCTATTTCACAACTAATGAATACACAGGATTTTTAAACAAAATCGGAAGAAACGGTAAATTGAGCTAATTATATCTGTTGAAAATCGTCGTGAAGCTTCCTAATGCGTAATACAAGAAGGAGTGTAGGTACTTCAAAAATAAAACCTGAAAGTTATTGCTTTTTTTGATTTTGTTTGTGCTGGTCAAATCGTACATCTTTATTGCTATTTTATGTTTTACACGATAGAAAAGAAAACACAAGGCATAAAGCGACTTTTTTACAACCGTATTTATTTCCAGAAATTTTGTAAAAACTGCAATTCTCGTAATTTCGCTTGGAGCCAGTCCTATTCAGCATTCTTGTCACTTTAAGTTAGCGCTGCTTCTAGTTTCAGCTGTCTATTCCAGTAAAATGGACATGTAATCAGTGATTAAAAATGAATCATAACGGTTGAATTCTAGTATCAAAAATAATGACCGAGCCAATCCTTTGCTATCATTCCTCTTTTCAAAAATGGTCGGACGACGAGCGGGAAGGCAGTGTTCATACTTTGAAGGATATATATATATATATATATATATATATATATATATATATATATATATATATATATATTATTAT